TATTTCTCTGTAACAAAAGAAACTGTCCTGTTGGGCATATAATGTTAAATACTGTTGTCTGATCCCAGGCTTGTTCTGTGCAAATGGTGGGTGATATCACTTAATGGGCAACTATTCAATTTTTATCTACTTGTCTGATGCGCATCTATGATTTATTTACCACACATTCTCCAAATTCTGCTTTGAAGACATTTTTTCTTCCTTTGTTTATAGTGTGCTCATCACTATAGTAGCTGAAGATTTTGCAAACATTAATGAATTTATCTTGATATTTCTTCTGAAAGCTATTGCCATTTATGTACTGGGAGCTGAGGCACAGTCAGATCAAGAAAAACAGTGTCTGCTAGTTTTAGAGATTTTAAGAGCTAGGAGACTTTTTTCCTCAGCATTGTTATCCAGCACTTCAGATTTTTAAAACACAGCTCCCAATGACGTCACTTGCAGTTCTGCAAATCTGGTGAGGGGTCTCGAGTCAAATATGACCTACAAATACCAGACCTCAGAGAACAGTTTTATTTGTGTGACTTGCTCTGCATTCCAGTGGAATATAGTCACAGGAGCAGGGAGCATAATATTTTTTTGCCTATTCAGTTTCAATGTTCATTTTCAGAAACCTCATGTTTCAGCTCTATCTACTCTACCTGTTTATTTTCCAGACTTTTCAGAGGTGATCTACAGGTCTACTTCCACCTCTTGAGGCCTCTTCAGCTCTCATTTAAATCTTTTTCTAGTTGTCTTGGCATTTCAGTGTGGCATCTTTTGTTTTCCTGAGCCTTGCAAGGAATTTCCCCTGCAAGTTGATAGTGGGGGTAGGGGAAAGCCTGAGTAAAAATCAAGTCAAGCAAGATCCTGCCCACTGGGGTTTACACAAGATGGACTCTGTCTTGCACTTGCTTTCTGGAACAAGGTGTGCCATTTGGCCAGAAGAGCTCTTGTGTTCAGCAAAAAGGAACTTGAACTGAAACAGGTGTCAAGAGAGCTCTGAATGCAAGCTGAGCGATAGAGATTTTGCCTGATCTCAGCAGAGAGGATGATCATCTTAATGCAGCTATTTCAATGTAGCCTTTCTTACCCTGATGCTTTTATCAACAATATTAGAATGACAAAGCATGTAGTGGCCTACAAGTATAAGAAACCTAATTTTCCATCTAACCACAGCTATAGATATTTTTTGTCTGATTTAGGAGATGAGATCTCTAAGTAGTGTCACACTCATTTTCTGGATTTAAGCAGAAGATCTAAACAATCTTGGATAGAGTTCTAGTTTCTGAAAGAGAAGGCCTTTAAACTTAGATCTGTAAATTTAAATGGTTTGTGTACAAAATATCACTTATACATGGCTTCCTGTGGAAGCCTGCAGCAGTGCCTGAAGCAACTTTTTCCTGCGCTCTCCCCCCCCCCCCCCCTTCAGTTTCACATTGCCCTGTGAACTGAATTATATCATGGCCAAAAGCAGAAGACCATCTGCCAATTCTCCCCACCCTCATGAACTCGTTGTCACATGAAGAGCCTGGGCTAGCCACAACACAAGTGAGAAGGCTTATGTGGTAACAGAAATCTAAAATGGCAATAAGTGGGAAGAAGGAAGTGTTTCACTGGAGAGAAAAATAATTTATACACGCTCCAAGCAAAAGGTGGTATGGCTGTGTGAGCATGTCTGTTCTATCAAAGATTCTCTTTTTACAGGCTATGTAGGCAATCTCTCTTCAAATCCTTGTGGAACTGTTTAATCAAAAACCTAACCTTATTACCATATGTTCTCAACTTTCTTGACCTAGATATTCTGAATTCATTCTCCAGGCCTTTATAGATTTAAAAATATTTTC